TATTCTGGGTCGGCCCCTATAGAGCGACCTCATCCATTTTAACGCCTGTGTAGAGCCCATAATTTATTACCCACTTTGCTGTTGGACATTGTGCTAGCTTCCACTTTGCTATTATAGATGAAGGTTGAAGTGAGCTCCTTACCGTGCGATTCCTGAAATTCAGTGTCAAGCCTTTTGTTTCCAGGAAGAATAGTTCTGGTGGGTCCTTCAAATGTAACCTTTGATTGGTAGGAGCTGCTTGTGATTTGTGCCAATATCACAACAGGCCTCCCATGAGGTAATCAGGTGATTTCACCTCAGGTGGGTCCCTCAGCACTCTTTAGAGGATTTCAGCTTGCTGTCCAGCACTTCCCACCTTTCCCCAGACTATGCTGAGTTCTTGGTATAGATAGTGACAGTACTATTGGAATGTACTGGAAGGAGGGGCAAGGGACATTGAGCATGAAGATTTACCTGTGTCCTATTTTAGCCTTTGTTTGGGACATAAGCCCAATGAAATTATTTAAGGGAAAGGAAAGTCATTCAGGTTTCTATTGCCTGAATTTTTGGCCCTGTGTACAGAACCAAGTATGCCTTAAAGATGGTTGTCTTCCTCTCTCAAACTAGGAATGAATGTTTTTATCCTTGGAGGTGATTACTGTGACAGTGTATCTGGTCTTTAAAGCAAAATGATAGGTGGAAAGTTTCTAGCACTGGAGCTGGTACTAAGTGACTTAATAGATGCCGACTTATAGTGGTCCCTTCTAGTGAGAGGCCTCCCCTTTTCACTGATCATTTTGCTACTTCTTCAGAAAATCATATTTTGGAAGACGTGAATAAATGTGTCATTGCCCTACAAGAGAAAGATGTAGATGGCCTGGACCGCACAGCTGGTGCAATTCGAGGACGGGCAGCTCGGGTCATCCATGTAGTCACCTCAGAGATGGACAACTATGAGCCAGGGGTCTACACAGAGAAAGTGCTGGAAGCCACCAAGCTGCTCTCCAATACAGGTGTGTGACCTTCCTCCTCCAACCCCTCGCAGTAGATGGCTTAGGTGAGGCAGGCCTTCCTGTTACTCCAGAAGCCTGTGGTTGGGAAGTAAGAGATGTGGAACTCAGCTCTTAAGGGATGCATCAAATTTTCTAGAGGGAAATGTGCCTGTGGAGACTCAACTCATGTGCCCTATGATTAATAGTGGGAATAAACCCAGAACATACTATTTAAGATGGACTTCTTAATAGCTCTATTAGTGGATGAATACTAATTAGGGAGGGTCCCATCCTTACACAAGGTCTCCAGTTAATTTCACCTCAAGGGGTTTGGATGATTCAGAACTTCAGAAACTGATTCCAGTTTTCTCAAATACAACTTCTATTTTGACCATAAATACGTATCACATAGGTAAAAGCCAGGGTCTTGCATCATACACCTCGCCTTTCTGTCTGAAAGGGAGTTAGGGAGGGTGCTGGAGTGATAAGGCCGCTTTCCTCCGTAGTCATGCCACGTTTCACTGAGCAAGTGGAAGCGGCTGTGGAGGCGCTCAGCTCAGACCCTGCTCAGCCCATGGATGAGAATGAATTTATTGACGCCTCCCGCCTGGTGTACGATGGCATCCGGGACATCAGGAAAGCGGTGTTGATGATAAGGGTGAGTAACTGCATTTCAGAGGTTTTAACATTTATTTCTTATCATTTGCTAAACTTTAGCAATGCATCACTCTGGAAGTCAGCAGATGCAGTGGCAGTATATTAAAACCATGAATCTAAAAGCTGTTAGAATGAGATATGTTTAATTATGTTGTCTAAAATGACTGTTACTTGCAAGTTGGAGCCCAAACTTGTGCCAGAATGGGAGCTAGTAGAGTTGTTGTTTACGATTTAGATCGGGGCAAACAATCATCACAAATAGTAGGCTTCTGTTTGAGTTAGAAGTACAGTGAGAAGGAAAGGCTCTTCGTTAATGTCAGTGAGCATCCCCTTCATGCAGATTGAGTACTGCTCACGGGTAGCAGGGGAGTTCTAAAACCAGCCCTGGTCATGCGCTGGGTTCAAGGCTGAATCGAGCTTTGAATCAGACCCCGGTCTGATTCAGAGGGGTCTTGAAAACAACCAGCCACTCTAATTACCCCCATGGTTGTAGACTGTGCCTTTCCCAGAGCAGCAGCTTGTTGCCCCAGGTCTTCCCCACCCTGCAGCACAGGCAGACACACAGCTGCTTTGCTGTACTGTCCATCTGGCTGGGTCAGGGGACTTTTTACACCCTCACTTGTACTCGCATCTCTCCAGGTCACTAGCAATGCTGCCCCAAGTTTAACCCCCTCAGCCTAGCGGCCATCACAATCCAGCAGGGTGATAGCATCTGCCTGGACCTATTTTATGTGCAGTATAAAAACAGCTGTGGACAAGACCAAACTCTTCCCTGAGGTGAAAAAGGAAGAGAGAAGAACTCAGGTTCACCTGGCTGCTGTGGTAAGAAGCAGTCTTTGGCCAAGGCCTTGCACAGTTGAGTGCAAGGTCCAGCCCCATGGCCGGATCTCCAGGTCACACAGGCTGGTGTAGTGAATGCAGCCATTCTCCAAAGTTCTTACTGTGCTGCCAGTCACCTAGAAGTAGAAGTAACCTGAAAGAGTGGTTGGCTGTGTGAGTGAAGCCCTTTGGGAATTTAAGCAGCTGTCCCTGTCTACAATCCAGCAGATGAGTGCAAATTCCCGTTGTGGGAAGCAGGTATGCTTGTAGGAGAGCCCATCCTAGCAGTATGGGTTCCTCTTCTAGCTCTGAGACTCCGTTTTCTTTCTTGGAAATTTCTAAGGAAGTTTTAATGAGTGTAGGTAATACACTCAGGCATGCAGTAGGTGTCCCCTGCCATCTCTTGTTTACTGCTGTGCTGAAACCTAAGAAAGAGAAAATGTCCTCGTCAGTGCAGCATGAGGCACCCAGCCTGGAGCTCCTGCCTCTTGTGCTCCGCATACCATTGCTGGGTCATCCTTTCAGTCCCTGGGCCTCTCAGTTAATGATGTCCTCCCCGAACATGATTGTCACTTACAGGGTCCCCTTATCATCTGTCAGGCCGCACCCCCGCACCCCCTTGTATGGTGACGCCCAACGACCCTCTAACCTCATCAGCCCTTGCCTCACCCCTCTCATGCTTATGTATAGCTCACCAGTTTCTCCTTTGTCCCCTTTTTCTGCAAGGTGAAATCCCGCTGCTGAGCAAGTAGGAGAACGCAGCCAGGCGGTAGCGTTTTCCACTGCCCTTTTTCCTGGCCTGTGCCACAGCCTCCCTGCTGTGTCAGTGCTTTCCACCTTCTCTCTCCCTCATCCCAGCTGAGGCCACCCCCTGCCTGGGTGTGTCCTGTGTGCTGTTGTGTTCCATCCTAATGAAATGTCTTGGCTACGTCTTAGGTTCTTTTCAGCCTCTTATCATGTGCCAGGATTTGAGAAACCATGGAGAGAGGTGGTCTCCAGAATTCTGCATTCATTAGCCTATCTAACAGGCACCTCAGACTTACTGCGAGATTAAAAAGTGAGCATCTGATGGCTCCATCCACTCCTCTATGTCAGTGGGTGGCAGATCTGGCTTCTGCTTGGTTAGACCCAGTCTTTGAATGTGCCCTTCATACCCCATATGCACTATCAGCAAAGTCTGCTGGTCCCAACCAGGTACCAGCATCCCTTACCTGGATTGATGCCTGCTGGTCGACAGAGCAGCCAGGGTGCTCATTCCTGAAGGGTCTCCATAGGCTTCATTTCCTGCTGTTCTCCCATTTGTTCCCAGGCAAGCTCCTGCTTTGGGGCCTTCATATTGGCAAACCTGCTTTCAGATCTTTGCTCAGATGTCCCAGCATGAGACCTTACGTGACCACCCACATAAAATTACAGTCTCCTTTACAGCTCTGGTCGCTTTCTAATATGCTTTATAATTCTTTGTTAGTCATTTCTCCCATTACAATATATGGGAGGGCAGGAATTTCTGTCTGCTAGTCATTTTGTATTTCCAGGGCCCAGAATAGTGTGTGGCACATAGAATCGACAGATAAATGAATGGGAGGTGTTCTTGTGTCTGATGGGACTATGGAGTGGCGAACATATTAGGAGGCATTCCTTTGAGAAAGATCTTCCATAGATGGGGCATTCACTGAACTTTGAAGGTATCTGCGACCCCAGAAATAAAAACTGGCAGATGGTGCCATAACGTTTGGGGCTGCCGTGTCAGTGAGACTGGTATGCCTCACAGCCGGTGGCTGGGCTCAGCCACCTTCCTGTGGTGGGTCGGCAGCCTGGGACCAGAGCCAACTTCCAGAAGACCGACATTATGTTTCAAGTCAGCAGCTGATTGTGGGGGTGGTGGAAAATAAGAATGTAATTTCATAATTAAAGCAAAGGCCAATAGTCTGTGCCTTTGGTATTTACTCACCCATTACTTCTCGGAGAAGGCCCAGAATTAGTGAATGCACTGAATTTCCTTTTTGTTATAAAGTTGGGAAGAATCTGCTTTCTACTGTATGAAACACCTATTTTTAATATAGTGCCTTTCCCCCCCTTCTTTAGTTGAAGGTGTTGGGAAACCATACCGGTAGAGTAAGAAGTGAAAACATGGGTCACAGTAGCAGACACTGAGGCCCCACCCAGACCTTTTGGGAGGTGCCTGTGTGGAACTGCTGCCTGCTGGCTTAGACAGGCCGCCTCATCAAGGAGGCGGGAGTTGTGGCGAAGGAGTGATTATAACTTCATTAATCACAGCTGATTTTGGAAACCCGAACATGAAAATCAAGACTTCTGGGTGCCCATACAGTGTCTAGAGAGTTGGGACAGCAGAAAGAGCAGGGCTACCTCAGCCTCACGACCTGTTATTTTGTCGTAGACCCCTGAAGAGCTGGATGACTCAGATTTTGAGACAGAAGACTTTGATGTCAGGAGCAGAACAAGCGTCCAGACAGAAGATGATCAGCTGATAGCTGGCCAGAGTGCCCGGGTAAGAAGCAACTGTGACTTGCCCTTTTTTCCAAGAAAAACTTCCCACTGTGGGGTGACTCGGTGATGGGAAACCCACGGGGCTTACTGTTGAGATGAAAAAAAAAAAAAACCAAAAACTTCCCATTGTGTAAACACCATTCTTCCCCTTTTTCTCGGCACTAGGAGTATGACGTTGTGGTACCTGTTAGTCGTTGTAGGTTCCTTGGAAATGGCTTCTCAGCTGGGAGCTGGCAGGAACATGGGCCTCCTCCACTGTGCCCTGGGTCTTCAGCTTAGCACAGAGCCCTGCAGGCCTCGGGAAAGCTGTGGGACATAGTCAATGTGATGTTTGTTAAAAGGATTGTGAAATTCAGAAAAAGATTGCTGTCTTTGCCCATCCCAATGATATCATGGGTATGAACTATTAATTATTCATGGGTTGAGGAAAAAAACAGTGGTACATTCAAGAAAACCAGTCAGGGCCATTGCATTCATTCATTTGAGTGATTAAATCTCTCATCAATAGCATTTATGTTTTGGAGAAGACGCCAAGAAATATTTCTAAGGAGTCTTTTTTTACTCCTTCAAAGTCATTTTGAACAGCAAGTGTGTCTCTGTTTTAGGCCTTAGTCATAAGCATTTTGGGAAGCTGAGCAGGGAGGAGCCCGAGGCCTGGACTCTGTAGGCTGAGGGTAGGTGGGTAACAGGTCACCTACTATTACTTTTGATAAGTTTAAATGCCACTTCTCAGCAGATTCTGTTATTTCCCTCTTCAAAATTTACATTCTAAAAACACTTTTAGTTTACCTTGAATAGTTGGAGGACATAATGCAACCACAGGAAATGCCCAATCAGGGTCCCCTACACTAGCCCCTGTCAAGTCCTCCCCACAGAAAGACAGAGGATGAAACTTACCAGGAAGTCAGGCAGGTTCTGTCACTGTGCCAATATGATCACGAAGCCTCGGGAGTAGCTACCTGTCAGTTTTCACCACACTAAAACTTGTTCTTGAAAGTGGGTCGGGAATTCAGACTGCCGTAAACGTTCTGTGCAAATTGAGAAGAAATGGCACTTCAGGCAAAATGAAACCTATTAAAGCATTATCCTACCTGTGTTATAGATTGCTTGGTGGAAATATCTTGGCTAATGCACTGTGAGAACTTCATCTCTCTTTACATAAGAGCTTTCTGTGCTTCTGATTTTAGGCGATCATGGCTCAGCTTCCCCAGGAGCAAAAAGCAAAGATTGCCGAACAGGTGGCCAGTTTCCAGGAAGAAAAGAGTAAACTTGATGCTGAGGTGTCCAAATGGGATGACAGTGGTAATGACATCATCGTGCTGGCCAAACAGATGTGTATGATTATGATGGAGATGACCGATTTTACTCGGTGAGTGGTCCCCACCCCCTGGCTGCACAGGGAGCAGTGGCCGACCAGGCTGCTTTGTGGATTCTGTTACCCATTCATTTCCAACCATAAGGATTTTCATATACAATGACTTTTTTTTGTTCCAGAGGTAAAGGACCACTGAAAAATACATCAGATGTGATTAGTGCTGCCAAAAAAATTGCTGAGGCAGGATCCCGGATGGATAAACTTGGCCGTACCATCGCAGACCACGTAAGTGGCACAGTTGTATGTGGGTCACTTTGCTGCATTCGTCCTGGGACTTGGGCAGCCCAGCCCGGCCCCTGCTCAAGGTTGTGACAGTAGGACTTTGATGGGACACAGCACCCTTCTTACTCACTAAGCTGGCTAGGTAACATCAGCATAGATTTTAAGGATTTCTGGAGCGGATGTGTTTCCTGACAGCTAGAACCATTCTCTACTGTGTACTTATTACGTCTCTGGGCAGGATCTGGATCCTGAAGTTCTAACATGTGGAGGCCAGGTGGAGTGGAGACGACTCTAGTGGATTTATTTCATACCAGACTCAGGAGCCTATTGGGCTAGTGTTCTGGAAGCCCAGTTGGGATCCTGAGTCTATGCTGTGGGTTCTCAACCTTCGTCCCTTGATGCACCATGTCTTGCTTGTTTTTCTAAGTTTCTCTCTGTAGTTACTAGCCTGCCCACCCTTCCACTGACGCTGCCACCTCGTAGCCTGCATGGGTAGCAGCAGTCTCATTCCTCAAGCCAAGATTCAGAAGTCATCCCTGATTCCTCTTTCATGTAATCCTGCGCTAAGCCTGATGCTTCCACTGGCCAAATCTATCTGGCTACTGCCCAGCATCTTCCTCTGTGCCACCAGCTCAGCCCACACCTCTGCAGTGCCGACCTTGGCTGCTGTGTTCCCTGCTGGCTGCCATTCTTCCCTCCCGCCGCTCTGCCCTGCTTTTCAATAACTTCTTAAGACTATGCAGTTTGGTCTGCAGGGCTTTATTTTATAACCCCTTGCCACTGCACCAGCCTTACAAGGAGAAATGTTTGCCGTCAACACCTCAGAGGTGGTTTCGTCTACAGGTAAAGCCTTGTGAATGGGCTCTGAGTTTTGCCATAGGACAGAACTTGGGTGGCAGCTGCCTGTAAGGTTCCCTGTGACTGAGCAAGACATGTGGGCTGCAGGGGCTCTTTTCCTTGTTTGCATACTCACTCAGCCTCCACCCATCCACTGTGTACAGTACACATGGTTATTACCTAGCACAACACACTCATGATTTTCCTCCACAACCTGACTCTTACTTAACTGTGACTGCCCCAGGAAATGGACACTGCAACTTCTTCTGAGCCTTTGACAGAGGGCATGGGGGCGAGGGGTGGGCTGGGCCTGGCCTGAGTGTTGGGTGCTAAGCCTTTTTCTCCCATCAGTGTCCAGACTCAGCCTGCAAGCAGGACCTGCTGGCTTACCTGCAGCGCATCGCCCTCTACTGCCACCAGCTCAACATCTGTAGCAAAGTCAAGGCTGAGGTGCAGAACCTTGGCGGGGAACTCGTCGTCTCTGGGGTAAGTTTTACCTGCAAAAAGAGATGGATAGTGGGAACAGGTTGCCAGATGTCCTGAATAAAAGTAGCCTACCACCTTACCTCCGCTGACCAGGGAAAGGATGCTGTGAAAAAACCTGAGATCCAGCTTGGAGGCCAAGGGATGCCTGCCGGCCATTCCCTGCTGGGCTGCAGCTCTGTTTAGCCTGGCTCTGTGGCGGCGGCTGGGAGCCGTGATAAGGCTGGCCTCTCGCTGGGAAAAAGTATTTTATCTTCCTGCTTTTCTTCTTCTCCCAGAGAAGAGCGGAGCCTGTTAAAAAATTGAAAGACAGCATAGCTAGGCTTCACACCGTCAGAGCAGTCTCTGTTTAACCATGTCACGGTAGCAGGACATCTCATCCTGGGTTCCACGGATTCCCTGTGGCCTCTGCTGATCCAGCGCAAGGTCCATTCAGACAAATTGTAGTCGAGCATGCTGCTGGGACTTGTCACCTGCTATAACCAATGCCTGAAATATCTAAATGAGGGGGTTTCCTGGTCAAAGCCATGGTGTTTGTGTTTACATCGCCAATTCGACACCTCTCCTCTGGTTAATGGTGCTTGTTGTCAGAGCTCTGTGGTCACTCAGGAAGAGGCAGCGCCGCCTCCCACTCGTTGACAGGTGCGGGCAGGCAAGGTGACTAGTGCCTTAGCGTTTCTTTTAATGTTCCCTTTTCTTCAAAGATCTGGAACACAGATGTTTTCAGGTTATCTAGGTTAAGCAGCAAGCCCACTGAGAGCTGATCAGTAGTGGGGCTGCTGCTCTGCCTGTCCAGGAGGGAGGACACAACAACAGCCTGAAGCTAGGAACCCTCCTGCAGACTTGGGCCTCTGTTACTCACCACCCTGTCTGTGCCTCGTAGGTGGACAGTGCCATGTCCCTGATCCAGGCTGCCAAGAACTTGATGAATGCCGTGGTGCAGACAGTGAAGGCGTCCTACGTGGCCTCCACAAAATACCAGAAGTCTCAGGGTATGGCTTCTCTCAACCTCCCCGCTGTGTCATGGAAGATGAAGGCACCTGAGAAAAAACCCTTGGTGAAGCGAGAGAAACAGGATGAGACACAGACCAAGATTAAGCGGGCATCTCAGAAGAAGCACGTGAGCCCCGTGCAGGCCCTCAGTGAGTTCAAAGCCATGGACAGTATCTAATGCTGCCCTTACCCCCCAGGTTCCTAAAGATCAGTCACTGCTCTTTGCTCAAATGTATTCGCTAAACAGAACACTGATAGTAGATTCCACGGGGAAATAGGCAGTTTTTAATCCTGGCCAGGTGGTGAATTTTATGAAGGCATACTTGTGTTTTAGTCAGTCACACACACACTTAAAATTCAGGAGCATTATTTCTAGCTATATATTTTTTATAAGCTTAAGAATCCTATAACCAAAGACAATCCCACACTAACTTGTTAACACCCTTGGCCAAGTTGCAATGCCTTTTCTTAGTGGTGGCTTTAGGGTTTGAGAGACAAGAATCAGGCTCACCTTCGGCTGGCCACTTACACCAGCCCAGGTGTTTAGTGACCAAAGACGACCCAGAGTGATCAGCTGGACGTCTTAGGAGACTGTCCCTGCAAAATGAATGTTCACTAAGAGGGACAGACCACACAAAAACTGTGTGAAATATAAGTATCATGAAGAAACTTGATTACTCTATGACATGAAATGAGAATTTTACTACATCGTTACTAATGTACTCTGCTGCAGGACATTAATAAAATCGCTTTTTTCCGGGCTAGAATGTTGTGACGCTGTAATCAGAACATGCTTTTCCCCCCTTTCTTCAGCTTCGAATGCAGATTCATCATTGGGCTCAGTTCTAATAATTGCAAGGTTTTCTGCCTTAGGCTTGCAACAGAGGCCTGACAGAGTAGTGTTTGCTTAGGCAATAATTTAGAGTTTTTACCTTATTTGTGATTACTATAGTGATTATAGCTGCAAGGTATAATATTACTGTCTTATTTAAATCTTATGAATTTGAATGTTTTTTACACTAACTTTTCCCAATAAAGTCCAATATGAAACCAAATCTAAGAGGTCCAAGACATTTTCTTTGCAGCATCTGCACTGCTTCCCAGGAACAAGACTGCGCGGGCCAGCTCCCCTGCCACCTTCATGGGCAGGTGAAAACCCTGGAGGCGTCCTGACAACTCTGCAAAGATGAGCCCAGCCCCTTCTGGGTTGCAGCACCACCTTTAGCAAAATTCCCTGAAAAGCCACGTGGCTGGCGGTTCGCGCTGACCTCTGTTCTGTCTATTCCGGTCTGCTCACATTCCCGTAGGGGTCACCTTCCCAACCTTGCATACGAGTGACCCAGACTCCAAGTACTGTGCACCTGTCAGCTTCCCTCTGGAACCCTACATGTCTCAGGGTGCCCCTACTTACCCTTTCTGCCTACTATCAGCTAAGCCAGCACCTCAAAGAATTTCTGTGTGACAAACTGCTCCAAAACTTAGCCACTAAAAACAAACATTACCTCAGTTTCTGAAGGTCAGGAATCCAGGAGCAGCTGAGCTGGAAGGTTGTCTGGGGTCTCTCAGGAGGCTGGGTGGGCTGAGGAGCTGCTTCTGAGCCCCCTCACCTGGTTGGTGGCAGAAGCGTCCGTGCCACACTCCCTGTCCTGCACCACAGTTCAGAATAGGGTCACCGATTTCCCCCAAAGTGAAGGGTCTAAGACAAAAGCAACCAGATAGAAGCCATTGTCTTTTAGTCTTGAAAGTGATAAGCCGTCACTGTGCTTTGCTGGCCACAAACACCACCCCGGTAGAGCGAACAAGAGGAGGTAGACTTCCCCCAGCGCTCTGAACGTTCCCCAGGCTGCTTGGAACATTCATTTCCCCCTACACACCACTGCACTAATACCACTGTGTTAGTTCCCCAGGCACTAACCATTGCTTCAGAACAAGTCTAATCACAGCCCTCAGCTCAAACCGTCCTGTTTATCTCCCCTCAGAGAACGCCAAGGTCCTAAATGTGGGATGTGGTCTCTGTCTTCTCTCTGACCTTACACTGTTCTACCTCATCTTGCCTTCTCCAGTTCCTGGCCCACACCCTCCACTGAGTCCTG